GAAAAAGAATTTATTTCCTCTAGAATTTACCAAAATTCGTCGAAATTCTTTCCATTCCTCGTTAAGCAATGTCTTTAATTCCTTCACAAAATCTTGTTGTTCTCTTGAAATTCCTAGAATATAAAATCTTTTACCGCGAAAGTACCACTTCATATTATGTCGCCAATATTATCAGTAATCAGTAATTTTTAAATCTCATAAAAACTTTTAAATTTTTCAAATTTTTGTCTTTTCTCTCAGAATTTCCCCATTAAAGGCAACTAAGATCTATTCTCCGATTGCACCATTTAAATTTTTTATACCATATTTTCAACAACAGTAGCTGTAATTGAACGTTTTTTAATCTGTTTAGATGCCTTAGGCGCCGTATATATTTTTCTTTCTAGAATAAGCTAAAATAAGTTCTTTCAGAAACGATTCTAGTCTTCCCTGCTAAAATTCCCTTAAGCCTCTCCTTAACATTTTTACTTCAACCTGCAATACTTTTTTTAAAAACAGTTGGTACTATTTCCATACGCTTCTTTATACGATTCTACTCTATATATTCTTTATTTATTTGCTTGAAAACGACAAAGCAAAGTGATAATTAAGTGATAAAGTGATAAGCCATGTGATTATAATAATAACAAATGAAGTGCTAAATAAAAGGCAATTTACTAATATCGATAAAAGCGAAATATGGCCAAAAGCTTATAATGGAATAGAATAACACAAATCTTATTGAATTTATTACTGGCACATCAATACATTTTGAAAGATTAAGATTTTTATAACTATAAGTCATAATTTCCTATTTTTAAATAAATAATAAAAAATATTACTATTTTATGATAATTAATAGTGCGAATGAAAAAGTTTTATGAATTCTTAGTTTTGACACAGGTGAGTCGGCAGCATCACCAGGATTTTTGGATAGATTTACTCCTACAGAGAATAGAACCTCAGCATCGGTGTTCCGAATTGAGCAACAGCCCATTGTGCCATTCTATATATATTTTATATACATATTAAAAATTTCCAACTAAATCTTATTTAATTCATCGAAATAAGAAGAGATTATGTAATTGGAGTTATGTTTTATAATTAAAATAGCTATTAGAAAAGAGGCGATGTATAAAATATCTCTGGAATCCTTCAATTAATTTATAGGAATTAGACAGTGACCATCCATAGTTTATCCAAATATCTTGTGTATGATTGGAATGATATCAGAAGGATAAAAGGTTGGATTATACTTGGAGATTGAACGAATGCTATACTCTATTCTATATATTTTGATAAGAAATTTGATAAGAAATTTTCAGTTCTATTTTTAAAACGATTTGGTTTTCTTGAGGATTTCTTTACTATGGTTCTACAGTGAAAATCGAAATCAAGATTTTCCACAACTATGCCAAGGTCTAAGAAATTCGAACATGTTTGATTATGTTACCAATTAATAAAAAGACGAGAAGAATCGGATACTTTCGAATTTATATACAATACGCTATACTTTTGAATGGAAAGGGTAATTTGCCTGTCATATATAATCAGAAGGCAATTCTGTTGAGGTCATTTTGTAGCGGAGATACATTGTCCGATCTCCCCATGAAAATAGTAAATTTTACGGTCAATAATATAGGGATAAATGGTAGAATTCAATTCAATATAATATCATTAATATCATATCATTTATATTTATATCATATCAAATTTCCTTTAATCCCCATATAACACCCGCCATATCGATCCATCTTGACCCTTTTGTATCTTTCAAAACATATATCTTTTGAAAAACCTCTCCAAACTCCACCAAATATCCTCTTAACACCTCCAAAGTTCCACTTAAATTTTTTGCCTTAATCCATTGGCCATATTTTAGACTCCTTTTAATTACCTTAGCCAACCTAGGCATTGTGTCCACTGCATTACTGATTTTCTCATTTTTTTTAAGCCTAGTACATTTTTGCCACTGCCACACGAAAATTGTAAAATTCTGAACAGTTTTTTTGGCAAGCCCCTAACATTTTTAAAATCCGTTATTGTTATAAAACCCCTCAGGCTTCATCCTATTTCATTAATCTCCTCCTCTGAACCATATTCTTTCAACTTTTCTTATAACCCAGTTATAAATGCCCATCTCGAATCTTTTCTCTCTTTTTTCCTCTTTTCCTCTTTTTCTAAATCAATTGGTAAAAAAATAAGAAAAATTTTTTATTTTCCACAATTTTTATAATTTTTCTCAAAATTCCACAATAATTTCAAGAAATTATTTTTTGCTTCTTTTTATAGGAGTAAACCTGTCACTGAAGCTAAATCCGGACTGTTAATCCGAACCAATTACCCTTTATCTCTGAGCGACTTTTTGATAAAAGGACCAGATTATTCTTAAAGGACCTCCTAGTATCTCTAACTTGGTGATGCGTGGGCGAATATGCACTAAATATGTGAATCGAGCTCACTGGTCCTCGAGATGAACAGATTGCTTCTAGTAAAGTATAGCTGGTTCAGCAAGTTTATAAACGACAACAAACCATGCTTTAGCCAAATATCTTGCGGAGTTACTTGCTTCCTAATTCTTGGTCTAGAACAATAATTTGACGTAGTTCGGACAAGAATATCGACTAGATTGTGCATATGTTTCGAGTATGATTAATTTTAGTCAAGGTCATACAAGGCCAATTCCTTTCGAAATCAGAAAAATTTGAAAAGTGCGGTTCCATAAACGAATTCCTCTCGAAGGCATACCGGTTATAACCTCTCATTCACTGGTTTCTCATGGGTTACCTCGATTCGAATTTCGTAAACTCCAAAATTTCATTAGCGAATGCGTAAATTTTGCTTGACCGTAACGTTCGATGAAAAGTTGCAACTATAAACACTTGAAAATTCTATTCTTAGTCGATGGAGATAATCAAATCAGTAATGGTGTTCACTATTAAAAGAAAGGAATAAAGTGAATGATTTGGTAGGAAGTTTGAGTTTGACTCTTCAAATAAGCCAAAAATTTTGTCCTTTTCGCTGAAAGTTACGAGGATCATTATGCAATATCGCCTTCAAATCACTACTTTTGGCTTCATGTGTCAATAAAATGAACCATTTCCGGCTAGGATAGCTCTGCCAGCTATTAATACGGCTAAGAAATTTTTACCAGAGAGCAGCCACTAGTCGATGGAAGATGAGCCGCCGGAACTTTTCGTACGTCTATCGCAAAACGAACGAACCATTAGGCTAAATTCGTCGTACATCACAGGAATTTAATATTAGAGCGTATATGATATATAAATCACGAAAAAATTTATTTATTTCATCAAAAATTGGCCAAATTTTACCAAAATTCCTTCCAACGCCTTCTCAAATCCCAAATATTTCTTTGTTGTCTCCGAACCATCTAAAACTAGTTTCTACAGCTTTCCCTCTCAAGTGCTCCTTCATATTTTTTTAACATCTCGGTCGGTCTCTTAGTTCATTTTTTTACCATGGATACCACGCCATGAATTATGGAAATTATGAAAGTACCACAAGGATGCTTGGAATAGCGGAATTAAGAACGGCGCGGATCGGGAATTTCATGTAGGAAAATTATAAGATTTCCTAAGAAATTTTTGGAATATACGAAAGGTTTTGGACAGATATACCGATTTCCGAAGGGAATTTAAAAGCGTTAAGAGAAAATTACAGGGAAACCAGTGTGCATCAGAAGACATGTAAAGGAAAAAAATAACCGACTGTGATGGCACAGAAAGGAGTTTACGATGGTTTGATGATTATTCTACTCGTCTTTTCAACTGGCTTTTTCTAATATTTCACAATTTTTACGACTAATTTGAAAGTTTTACCGCCAAATTTACGAAATAATTAAAATTACAAATGCCTCCTTTGAACACTCCGTCCGAATCGGCGAATTTAAATGAAGGTCAGACGATTTTAAGGATCAAAAATTTTTATTTCCATAATTTTTTTTTTTTTTTAGACAAATATTTATTGTTCAACTAAAAATTTGCTTGCGTTTTTCTAAAGCTATTTTTGCAACCCCCTTTTATTTATCAATTAAAATTATCACATCGTCAGTTAACGAATATTACCAAATGAAGGTTCTTCTAGGCTTGCAGTTCGATCTATAAATTCTCTAACAAAAGCGAAAGTAAACAGTTGTTTTTTTAGAATAATCGCAATTTTTTCTTCATTATCACCGTCTTTTTGCTAATCACCCATCTATTTGTTCCATCATATTTTTCATTCTGAAACGACGAATTCAATAATCATTAGGACAGAAAGCCCAGATGACCAGCACCATGGAAATGAAAGCGAAAATCTGATATTTCACCATCTGTCTTTAAATTTTTCATTAAAATTCACTTCCCTCTTCATCGTACGCATTCATCATTTGCATATAAATTTGCCTTACTTGCTTTAACTTTTCTTTAACCATTATTCCATTCGACTTTTCATATTCCCAAAAACCATTGAGAATCCACATCTGCATCAGTAGCACTTTTTATTAATATATAAAGTTTTCATGAAATTAAATTAATAATAAATTAAATTTTATTCATTCTTGGCGAAAATATACAAAATAATAGAGAAAATTATAAGCAAATCGCATTTTCAGCAAGAAGAATTCAAAGAAAAAACGAATATTTTCATCTATTTTGAGCGGCAAGTTGATCCTGTTCATGTAGTCGAGCGATTTCGTCTCGTTTTTTGTCAAAATACTGAGCAAACCTGCAAGAAAAAATAATATTAAATTTGGAAATTTCGACCTTCTTTAAAAATAAAACAATGACAAGGAAATTTTCTAAGCAGTGGTGGATTTCGGTGGATTTCTAAATAACTATAGATTTCCCACAATGTATTAATGGGAAACCGATGTTATGGGATTGAAATGATAGTAATCAATTATCAATTAGTTGATAATTAATTCAATTAATCAATTAGTTGATAATTAGTTGATTAATTATATATCAATTAATTGATATATAATTATATTATAATAATATAATATAATTATAATAATATAATTATAATAATATAATTGATATAATTATATAAATGTTATTTAATATAAAAGTATGACTAAGTATGAATAGGCTGATTAGAAGGTACCAATCAAGATGTTCTCGTTTCTTTTTCGCAGTTAAATAAGGGTTTTTCGATAATCCAACACAAACAAGCTCCATAAAATGAGCAATTGGTCCTTGTTTAGGCAAATTATAAGGAGCAATGACTTTTTCGAGGAAAATATGTTCGTGAAAAGTAACCTAAAAAAAAATGAATGAAAAAATATCAATTTAAAAAATTTAAAAGGAAATTTAAAATGAAATGCCTTCATTCTTCAGTAATTTTTTTAATACTGATAATTGTATATAACTTGTATGAGATTTAAAGCTGATAAATAGATGAATAGATTAAATTATATATAATATAATAAAATATAATAGAACTACATTTTCTTCATCGCCCAGAAGATATTCATTATCAATAGGGTATGGCCACATTTTTCCTTTTTCCGTTAATTCAATCATCTCTTCGAATCCATTTCGAGGTCCTAATGACTGGTTCCATATTCTGAAGCATAAATGCATTGGAAGGAATAAATTAAAATTACATTTAATGATAATTCATAAACACAGAAGAATACCTAAGAAAAGTACCTAATGAAAAAAACAATATATTTTCCTATAGGACTCGAAAACATAAAATCTAACCTCGCTGCATTAAGGTCCCATTCAGACCAGTAATGTAAGCTATGCTCTTTCAAAGCAGAAATATCAGTAAACACATTCAGGGAAGGCTGGTCGGCTGCGAAAATATTCGGCATATTTAAATCTGGTTCTATGATCGGTTGCTCTTCCTTGCTTTTTTCCTTTTCAAGTTCTGATCTCATTTGCGGATATAGGATTTTGCTAAATTCTAGTAAATGAAATTTTAAAAAACTTTAAACGAAGAAATAAACATAATATTTGACTGCACATGAAGTTATAAATAGAAATAGATCACTTTGTTAAAAGATAAAAAATAATTCCAGCAGAAATAAAATAATTACTCAGCCACTTGAAAGGCAAGATCGAAGAATTTATGTTCCTTTTCATTGATTTCACTTTCCTTAAGTTCGGTTCTCTCTTTTTCTAGAAGTTTTTGCTCAGTAGCCTTTTCCAGTCGAGATAAAACTCGTTCCCTAGCTTTTTCAACGGCTCTTTCAGCTATATCTTGAGCCGCTTTCGCATTATATCCATTCTGCAAATCTTTTAATCAAATCATGTACTGTAATATAATATTTAAAAAATCATTGACTTAATAACGATAAAGCTTAGTATGGGCGTGCAAACTACATTCTTACTTAGCTTAAAAACCAAGTTGTGACATAAATTTGTTTATATATAATTGGAGGTTTTCATTCTTTCCCTATTTTTTATTCAAAAAATGAAAATAACAATAGCGAAAGATAAAAAAAACAATAGAGAAAAAAGAAAAAGAAGAACCTGCTTAGCTTGATAGAACATTTCCCTCCTCAATGCAAATAAGCCTCGTTTAAGTCGTCGAGAATCTAAGAATCTGAAAGAAAGCAACAAATTTGCATAAAATTTGATGATAATTTCAATTTGTACAAATTATTATTATTATAAAATTTACACATTTTGCAATAATTTTATAAATAGCAATATTTACAAATTATTTTAATTTCCATTAATATTTAAACAATGAAATTAAAAATTAAAGATAAACAATCTGAAATATTTAAAAACTAAACAACGGCTTTTGTAGTCAATCAAATAAAAATCAAAACTGAAAATTAAAAAAAAAAAAGCAAACGCAATTAATGTCGAACTTCGGGATAGTTTTCTCTTCGCTTGCTTGTTGACTATCAAATAATTTTTGAATATTAGGAGCAGCTAACATTTCTTCGATTTGTCCTGCTGTTGCCGATTCATATTTTTCACGTTCATATTCAGTTAACTTCGCAATTAGATCATAAGTCGTCCTTTAAAAAAAATCGATACAAGTACTTTTTTCAAAATAACCTGATGGCAATTATGATAAAATAAAAATAAAAGGGTAATAAGCAATTTAAAGATGGTTTTTTGATGCACTGCCTTCGTAAATAGTACCATTCCTTATGGAAAAGCTTGAAAAATCAAATCAAAAGAATAAATCAAAAGTTAAAAGCAAATAAAAACTTTTTTCTAGATGTTACATCATCTTTATGCAAAGTCTTCGATATATCGCTGACAGCATTTAACATTTCTTCTCCAATAATATCCACGGTTTTCAAACTTTTCTTTTTCCTTCCTTTTTCTCCTTTTTTTCCTGAAAAAATGTTCGAACAAATAAATAGAAAAGAAAACCAATTTTTTCTTTTCTTTTGATCTTAAAGAAAAAATATTTTCCACATAAAAATAAATATTCGCTTTAAAAAACTATATGAAAAAAATGAAAAAAAATAGAGATGAATGTTTCAAAAATTGAATTAATTTGACGAAGTTAAAGTGCTAGCTAAGCTGCTAAGCTGAGGCTTAATGGCTAGCCTAAATCTATAATAAATTATAAAGTAACAAAATTCACGTTCAGGCATTAGTGACTGAATTTTATAACATTTTGGCTAAAGCATAAGCAACAAAAATTCTATTCTATTCTTAATTGGAGTCGTTGAAATCAAGATGACTGCCCAGATTTGCTCTCAAATGGTTCCCTGGAAAAATAAAGCCGCCTTATTGGTGAATAGTGATATATGTAATACTATTGAAAGAAAGAATGTTTCATAAAGGAAATGAGACATCGTTTAAATAAATATTAAATATTATAACAAATATAATAGAAATTTAACAAATAACTTACTAAATAATAATTCTCCTTTATCTAAAGAATCGGATAAATTATCATCGGCAGCACTGGCATCTGTCGATTCATTTTCTGTTTCTCCTTCTTTTACATTTCCTTGTTTTGCTAAAATTATAAAAATATAAATAAAATTGCTCGAAGCGCGGCCTTTCTTAAAAGCCGTAAAGCAACTTTTAAAAATTCTTACTTTTCACAAAAAAAGGAAATTTTTTTGCAAAAATTTTGCAAAAGGAAATTTTTTCTCAGAAAAAGAATAATTTTGAAGATGAAATAAATTAAAGTAAAAAAGAATAGCCCTTAAGAATAGTAAAAAAAGAATCGGAGTTGTTGCTCTTATTTCAGAAAACCGATGCTGAGATTCTATTCTCGGCGAGAAATCCGAAAAAAATCCGACATTCCTATCGCCATGTGACAAAAAAATTGACTCCCAGTGGAACAAGCAAATAAGAAATATTAAGCATTCTTTAAAAAACTGTCATTATTTCTTTTATGAAATTCAAATACTTACATAGATTTATCGAACCATTTTCGTCATTATTTTTATTATCTGAATCGTTTAATGATGAATAAAATCGGTTATACTGAAAAAGTTTTCCACGAATGGACGCTGAAAATTCATTTTGACAAAATAGCAGCGAAGAAGATTGCCGAAGATAGCGAATTAACATTAAACAAATTCTTTTCCAATCTATAATTTATCAAAATAATATAAAATAAAATAATATAAATAAAAAAAAAAACGATGATAAAAAAACAAAAACGATGATAGAATGGGACGAGTGGACAATGGCCCAGATTAGTGAGCTGGGAAATGAAAGTTCGGCCAGAAATAAAGTGCATTTCTGATAAGAGAACTGGCAACCACGCTTACAACTAGTGAAACCAATTTAACCAGAAATGATAAGTGCTAATCACTTTACTTAGATAAAACTGATAACTGATAACGATAAAAATCATTTAGAATTAATGTGACTTCAAAATGAAATTGTTTTCAAATAAAATTTTATTCTTTATAAATCGATCATTGAAATTATTAAAAATCGAAAACCAGATGGCTAACAATCCATCTGTACGTGGATCCACTCGTGAAGGAATCTCCTGTTGAGGAATTCCGTCCTAATAGTCCATGGAATCAATCAAGCCAGAAAAATAAAGGAAAAAATTACTATATTCACGAAAGGAGGTCAAAAGCAACTATTCTCGAAATCTTCTCACTTCCAAATTTTTCATAATTAAATGCACCACAAGAATGGAATGAGATGAAGCCGAAGCTGACACCGACAAATCCTCTCTTCACTAAATCTCGTGAATCTTTCTAAACAAAGCTACGATGAGAAATTTTTCAACCGGAAATATTTTTCACCAAATTTTTTACCTCCTATTTTCCAATAACCACAATTATTCTATTCATTGCAATGTACTGGAGAAATGTTTTATTTTTTTACTACAAAAAACTGTAGGGAAAGTTATTAACTTTGATTTATAATCTCAATTTCCTTATTTTTAATTTTTATTGTTAATTTTACGAATGTATAAAATATCTAAAATATTTAAGCCGAAGACTGCGCTAAGCAAAGTGGAACATAGCATATTTCAACCATTTATTTCACTTCCAAATTTTTCTAGAACAATTTGATTTCATAAAAATAAAAAAATTTTTTTTCCACTTAATTTTCATAATTAATTATCATCTTATTAATATTAACATTATTACTATTGGAAAAGGCCATATAAGGCTACATAGCTGAAAAGGAAAAATGCATATTATAAGAATATTTCGCTAAGAGTACGAGAGAAAATTAATCGCCTCGAACGAATTTGATGCCTTTTGCTATGTTTTTCTGTAATTCCGGAATTGCTGTCTTAACTAGATTTTCTTCATACATACTTAATTTGCCTGTTCCAAGATTTTTTTCAAGTCCGTTTTGCTGAAATTTTTTTTTATTCAATGATTATTTAAAAATACTTTAAAAAATATTTTATTTTAGAGGAATTTCTGGTTAGGTATTTTAGAGGAATTTCTGGTTCCGAACGGCTATTAGAATGAGGCCCTTTTTGCTAGAAAATCATGTAGGGATGGAATGCTGATAGATCCTTGGCACTACCATCCAAATTTTTATTTCTGCCAAAAACACAGTAATGCTTAAAATGATAGCCTACACAACAAATATACCATCCCACCATAATAACCTCATTTTAATGAGTACATTTTACCTTTATTAATAAAATAGTAACTGTAACAGGCGAACTATTATCAAATATCAAATAAGATAGGCAAATCAGAATATGAATCAACAATATGAATCAATATTTTTGAGATAATAAAGAACTAACGCCAATCATAATAGGTGTGGAGAAATACTCAAGTCCGGGCACGACATCTGACTGTACATAAGCACACTGTACAACATTTTCACCTGATAATGCTTTTAACAATCCTTCTACGAATTTTGCTGCAGCTAATGCCATCGATAAAGTTGCAGATCCCTTTAAAAAATGAAAAATCAACGTGTCTATTTGTTTCCGAAATGAGCCTCGTTGTAATTACCAGGTTAAAAGTTTTGCTATAGCGATAAATATAAAAATAATTCAATAATTTCTAGTTACTTCGAAATGAACCAAAAAAACGAAGTAAATTTATAAAAATTCAAATTCAAATTTTTCGAAATTAGGTCATAAACTACTAACTCCTCCAGCTTTAGCTTTAACTACTTCTGTTCCAGCCTCCTGAATGCGTGGTGTTAACGATTTTACTTCCTCGTCAGTAAACTTGCAAGCTGGTTTTGTTTGCGATAGCACTGGAATTATTGTCACACCAGCGTGACCACCTATAACTGGTATCGTTGTTTTTGTTACATCCAATCCCTTAAAAAGATTTAGATTTAAAAGATTTGAATTCGAAAAATATGATTATAAATTGAAATTCTTGAGTACAAAAATCTATATAATTAATACATTTTTTTTTGGGCTGTCTGTTCATATATTCCTCTACAAATTTAAATTTTTGAGAAGTCCTTAGAACGAATGTAATTATGTCGAAGATATATTATAGGCTAATTTTTTATGTTCCAGAATTCTTTCTGAATTCGGAAAGTCACTGTCATTCATGATAAACCATTGCCAATTCCATGCTTGTCATTGTATAATTGCAGATAGCATCTATATGTACTATTTGTACTATTCTTAAAAGTGCTCTGAAGAATATGCATATAGTACTCAGTTCTCCAGGAATTTTAATATTGCGAGAAGTTTACTTTCATTTAAAACTAGTTTTTACAGGTATATAATTTTAACTAATACAGCATCCACAAAAACATTTAGCGGATAAAAATAAAAGTGGTTCGCCACTATCCACTTAGATTTTTTTTATCAAAAAATTTGTTTCCGTCGGAATTCGAGCGTAATAATACGATTTCCAATACAATAATAAATATAATGGTAGTGAAAAAAGAAAATTTAGAAAAAACAGTTAAGATAAAATTTCGTTTAATTAATGATTCATACTTTCAATTCTGCGACAAACGTTTGTGAACGAATAATATCCAATGTTGTAACACCAAAAATACGTTTTGTATCTTTTACATGATTCTTCTTGAAAACCTCCACAGCAATAGGAACAGTTGAATTGACCGGATTTGTGATTATTGCTATAAATGCTTTCGGACAGGTTTTTGCTGCTGCATCACATAAATCGCGAACAATACTTGCATTTGTATTGAATAAATCATCACGGGTCATACCTAAAAAATTAATCCTATTAAAAATCAAATTCAAATTGAATTTATTGTCCAAAAAATTTAAAAAAACATCTAAATTCATTCATTTCTTTTCTATTATTGTAGTTTATTTTTTGTTGGAAATTATTAGTTTATAGGAAATTTAAATGAAATGTTTTGCCTGGTTTTCGTGGAACACCAGCCGGTATAACAACTATATCAGTTCCATCAAGAGCATCGTTCAACTCTTTCGTACCAGTATGGGCAGTTACCTAGAAATTTTAATTATAACTAACTTAACTAAGTTAATTTTAATCAAAATGGAAATTAAAATTTTATTTTCACAAATAATATGATCCCGATTAAAAAATTAATAATTTACTTTTTTAATTAAATTATTTTTGCTTTTAATTTACTCTTAATTTATTTTTTTTACTTGTAAATTTAATTTACTTATTTAATATAATTTTTAAACGATTAATCAAAATTTCATGGAATTAAGCCAAATTTTTAATCATACCTTTGCTTTTGAATCAATATGCGAAAGATCAGCTGAAACACCAGCAGTATTAACGATATCATATAAGGCCAATCTAGAAATAGATGGATTTAGTTTAAGAAGAAGTCCAAGAGGTTGACCAATACCACCACTAGCACCAAGTAAAGCTACCTGAAACCAGCAGATTTAGCTTATCATTAACGCTCAATCACAAGAAATTATAAGAATAATGGATGGATATTTATTTACCTAAATCACCAAACAAAACAACATTTATATAAGGATCGATTCAAGCGACCACATCAAAACCGATCATTTAATTCAGATTTCAGGTCAAATCCTTAATCTGTCAAAATTTGCCAAAATTAAAGATAAGCGAAAGATTTTCGATAAGACTGAAAATTTCTAATAAAACTTGACTAAATAAATATTGAAAAAGGAATATTAAAACCTTGAAAGAGCTGGTAGATCGTTGTGAAAACAATCGAACTGCAGTCCGAGTCAAACAGATCGTTGAATGAGAAATAAATAGTACCATCTCTGAACAAATATGCAATTTTTAAATAATAGACAATAAATTTGCAAAATGTCAATCATCACTCATCGTTGTTTACACAGCTTTTTTAGTTCTGCTCAAAAAATTAACAAAAAAAAGATGCTCAGAAAAGGTCATCGAAAAAAGGCCGAGTCAAAGTTTGTCACCCGAAATCTTCACTGACCGCGAAATATATTTAAAGGATTTGGGCACACTATGTGATTCATTACGACCCGAGCGATGACACGGAGCGGTCGGTTTTCCTAATTCTTTTTAGGTTTATTAAATGTTTCGTAAATATTTGTTTTACAATGTGCTAATTGGAATCTTACTACAAATAAAACTGCGAATACGTATTTGTTATTTTATATGGTAAACATGCTATATATAACGAAATAATTTAAACCAGTGGTCACCAATTTGCTTTCATGAAGCTTTCAGGTGGTACCACAGAGTCTCAGGTGGAGCATCTTGAAGTTTTAGACTTCAAAATATTAATTTTTCACATCCAAGAATGTTGAATAAATATAATAAACTGCATAAAACAATTGAAAATGATTTGTTGTCATTCAAATAAAATAGAATATATAACTGGAATCAGATCTCCAGCTCACCTCCTGAGAGTCATCATGGACTACTATGGTGCGGAGCACTTTGATGGCCACTATTTTAAATGAACCTTAGAAAACTATCGGGTAGCTGATTCTCAAAATTCGTTATATTCCATAATTTTCAATCACTTCTAAAAGGAGGAGTAATAAAGCGTTATACATGAATCCGCAGAAAGAAACTGGAAGCGAGATATTCTCGAACCTCAGAAGAAAGAAATAATCTTAGAATGAGGTGAAAGCCACATAAGCCTCAGGTGCAACTAATATAAATCCTAATGCAACATCACTGCTAGGAGTCTGGGATTGAAACGTACGTTTATAGACATAAAAAAATTGACGGTGCAAGAAATAACTCTATTATAATGATACCGAGGGCAGAGGTCAATACTGATTTATTGATCGAATTAATAATTCAGCATTCATTAAAACCAGAAATTCTGTCACAATGACTATTTCGATTCCCACGTTTTGAACTTTTGACCTTTGTAACTGAACCCCTAACCTTTCTCAAACCTGGAACTATAACACCTTAGGAACCAGCAAATGTCCCTAAATTATTCATACAAAATTATAAGCGAAACTCACCTTCAACAAATACTCTCTAGTATGGGAAAAAGAAATATTACCAGATGATTGGAGCAAAGCAATTCTGCTCCCAATTCTCAAGAAAGGTGATAGGACATGTTGCGACAATTATCGAGGAATCAGCCTATTAGACGTCTCAGCAATTTTTGCTTCCCTGCTACTCAACACATTTATGGAAGTAAGAGACAGCAGGATGCGCCCTAATCAAGCTGGTTTCAGACCAGGGTGCTGTTGTGCTGACCAGATATTCACGTTAAGAAGGGTGTTGGAACATCGCTTCAAATATTTGCAACCCACTGTCACGTGTTTCATCGACTTTGCGGCTGCATTGAGCCTTTGATTCAATTGATAGAGGCGCTTTGGAGGGTGATGGAACGTGATGGTGTTCCAGAGAAAATCATTAGACTCATAAAGGCATTTTATGAGCGCACGTCGGCGCAGGTCTGTGTATATGGGGAGCTGACAGATTCCTTCGAAATAAGAA